GTACGTACGTACGTACATACATGCACTTGAGAAGAGGGCCAGGAAAGCTACTGCAAACAAAGGAAGCAGAGTCGATGGAGCTCGGCCGTCATTGCGTGCGGAATGCTCAGCAGCATGGACGCAAGCTCATATGCATTGCCATGAAGCTTGAAACCTACAAAACAGTAGTACTCTTCTGCATTACACTGCGCATGTCTCATGCAGATACACCCTTGCTTCAAAACTTTCAGTCATTGGGCTCCGGAACTTCCCTGCATAAGCCACCACTCGGACATCTAGGAGCAGCCTCGAACTGTCCTGGTGGCAGCTTAGCTGATTACTGAGGCATCAGACTTGAAACCTGCTGCCTGCGCACTAGGCTCAGTCAAGACGCAATGCCAGCTGCGATGTTGCTTCAACAGGTGCGTGGTGTTGTGTGTGTGAGGGGCCCCACCACGTGCCCTCCCCGCCAGGCCCCCACCAACGAACTGTTGTGAAAGGACCAGATAAGGTCCTGGACACCATTTCGACTGTGAATAACATTATGTATGTATAATACTGCAAACAAATCAACACACACACACACATATGAACTGTTTGCATATAGTCATGCATATACCTGCATGTAAGTTTTGAAAATGTCGTGTCTATATGTGTGTACATATCTATACATATATATATATATATATTTACATGCATGCATGCATGCATGCATGCATGCATGCATGCATGCATGGATGGATGGATGGATGGATGGATGGATGGATGGATGGATGGATGTATGTATGTCTGTGTCCATGTCAATGTCAATGTCCATGTCCATGTCTATGTCTATGCCATGTATGTGGTGCAATGTCTGACGAAAGCTGTATTTTGCACGATAGATACACACAGTACCAATAATTACATGCCGTGTACGCGGGTTGCTCGTTTGGCTTCAAAGACTATCTATGGCTAGGCTGCAGGCCACAATGTCTTCGTGGGGTGGTTGCCTGCCTGATGTTGCGCCTGCAGCTGTCGTTGACAATGCCGTTGAAGCTACTGAAGGTGATGTTTCAGTTGGAGAGGCGATGACACCTGCACCGCACCCCTCCATCACTCGACCGAGTCACAATCCACAATTACTTGGGCAGAGTTGTCCCTGGCCTGAACGACAGGTTCCAGCAACTTCTCCAATGCAGACATCTGCCAAAGACAACACGACACCCTCCTCGCAGGACAAATCTCGTCTCAGTGGCTCTCAGCGGGACCCTCAAGGCATCCGTGTTGTTGTGGTGGCGAACAAGCTCGGAACCTCCCTCAACGGCATTCTGACCATAAACATGATGACTAAGCCCTATCCCTGGAGGATCTCAGAAACCAGCAATGCCTTAGGGCCTAAGGCCATTGCAGTAACCTCTCCCAGACAAACAACCGCCGGGTCTTCTTCTCGGGGTTTGGGGTTCAGGGTTCCCTCTCTTCAGCGAAGCATCGTCAGGCCAGCTCGTCCCGTAGTCAAAGGAATAAATTCCGATTTGCGGTCCGGTGGTCGCTGCCAGCATGTTTACCTGGGCATGCACACGTGGTTGTCAATTCAAAGGCAGGTGGGAGAGCAAAGCTTGCTAAGAGTGGAGCCGGCAAGGTTCCTGAACCCAAAACCACACCATTCACGGAGATCTCTGCAGCGCCTGCGGCAGATCCGTGGCAGTCGGAAACTTCAAGAGATTCGCGCGGGAAGTCGATTCCGGCCTGTCGACGCTTGGAAAGCAACCTGGATATGGTACCACGTAGACTCAGAGATCTCCAGCTCGAAGTCCCAGGAATTCGGATAATCATCGGTCATGAAGGCAACGAGTCGGAGCTTGCCTTCACCTTTCGGATGACCTTGCGGTGCAGAATGCCCCGCTCAACTCTCAGGAACATGCTCCTGCTGCTGGTACCTCCTAGCAACATACAGCCCGTGGTTTTGGTGCAGTTACTGCTAGCATTGCTGTTGATCTTGGGGCGATACCATCTCAATCTTCATTACCATCCCAATCTTCAACATGAGTGTTGCGATTCACGGCACTGCTGCTCATGTTCTTGTGGTTCGAGCTAGGACTGTGCTGAATGCGCACCGAGGCTTGAGCGAACATATTTAGTATCTTCCCATTCCCTCAATTCCTCTTCCTACATGTTCGAAGATTGAAGTAAGCCGTATTTGATCCCGTTGTTGGCCTGCTTGCAAGGATTTCTGTTTTGTGATCGATGGTAGTGGAGGGCTGCGGGTGACCGAACATACCTTTGCATGACGTTTTAGAACCCACGACGTCCCACCCCACCCCACCACCTACAAGTAGGGCTTTCGGGTGCAGGGTCATGCAGGGTCAGGGTAAGGGTTTTGTGGCTGTCAAGCTTCGGGTGTCGGCTTGGAAGTATCCTTTGGGCGCAGTTCTCCGGATGTTGCGAAGGAGCAGAAGCCGCGCCACGTTTTCATACAGAAACGGGCGCGAATGCAAAGGTTTGTACTTGTAGACAGCCGCATACAAAAAGAAGCACGCACGCACTCACGCACTCACCCACACCTCCACTCACGCTCGACTCTACTCCATCCTGCTCACCAAACTCCTTCCCAGCTCCCCCACCCTCCTCCCCCCTCTCGAAGGAGTCCAGGAGAGTCCACCACCACCACCCCCAGCACCACAACTGCTGCTGCTACTAGACTCTACGACGAGGACGAGGTTGCCAAGCCACTTGGAGGCACCAGCCCCAGGATGTTGCCCGAGTCGGTCCAAAACAGCACTTTGACATAGGCTCCAGTCCTTGCGAACTACAGCGCCCAGGAGGAGATTTCTAGGGCGAAGCACAGCGATGTGCCATATGAACGAGCGGCTGGCTCACACCACGAACCATCAAGGAGAAGCTAAAGGCAGCCGCGCCAGTGGTCCAGCACTCGGAATATGCTTTGCCGTTGCAGAACTGGGCATATGCGAAAGCTCGATAGGGCATCACGCCCAGAGCGTCCTTCGGAGATCTTTCTCGATCTTTGGCTTTGATCCTTCGACAAAAGATGCTTAAAGGCCCACCTGCCTCCTTCCCAGCCGAGATGTGCCAGCTGCCATCCTGGAGAAGCGAAGAACACTTATAGCTGCCCTCCGACAACGTCAAAAAGCCTTAAACCGTCCCCAAAGCTCTAAACCCGATGGCCCAGCAAGTCCTCCTGGAAGTTGTATTGTCCAGAAGTGCAAGGGCCGGCACCACTGAATCCACCAGAGGTGCCCGGCCCACCACCGGCCTCCAGCAGTTTTAGGCTTTAGGATTTGTAGGTAGGGGACCGATCCGCGCACTGGAAAGGAAAAACTGACACACCGGAGATGTGCACACTGGTATGGGTTGAACTGGCAAAGTCGGGCAAAATGAGTCTTGCACCGGGGGGCGGATTTGCGCACATGGGATTCCCGAACTGAGAGCGCCAGATTCGGGCACCAGGGATGCAGACCGAAACGACGCGCTCACGCAGGGCAGATTCGCGCACGAACTATTTTGGGACTTGAGTAAGGTGGATTCACGCTCGCGGTGGATTCGCACTACGGATGCGTGGTTTCAAGCCGTGAGAAAACTTTAGGACACGAGCGAACGAGGTTCCGATGAGATAGGCGAAAAGGTTTGTCTCCAGGCGCAAGAAATGCAGCGATGCCAAACTCCTACACGGGGATGGAGCAGAATCAGGACATGCTGACAGCACAAGCCAGGGGGACTGGCACTTTGTTCTGACACTCATGCGGGGGTTGTCCATCGCCATTGTGGGGTGGTGTCAACTCTGGTGTCAACTCTGCCAGCGCTGGCAGATGCTTGCAGTGAAGCGGCAGATATCCAAGGGTTGGACCCGCCGAAGTTCTGGCTGCAGAAGTCCTGATCTGAAGCCTCGGCTCAGGCGCAGCTGCTATGTCTTGGCAAGGGGTGCAACGGATTGCATCCGACAGGCATACTGGCTGAAGTCACCGGTCCATTCAGTGCTCGGGGTACATGTGCATCCTTCTTTCCCAGACGGTTCTTTCGGATAATTCCCGTGTGCAGAAATCAAGTGTTGCCTGCTTCAGACGGCGAGGTGACGATTGAAGTCTCCGCTGTCGTGGAGGTCGCGGCAGATGGCGACGTCGAGTCAGTCGGAATCGGCGCTATTCCCAAGCCCAGGCAACCTCCGGCTTCGATTCGCAACCATCCGCATAAGCTAAAGATCTACCAACCTGACAAACCCGGCAACAAGGCGCCACGTGAACTGAGAGTTCGAAGCCTGGCGTGTTCGCGTCGCAGGAGCTGTAGGTCGCTATGGCGGGTCCCACGAGGTACTGCTCCTCTGGGCCCTGACCGTTGTATACCTTCAGGTCCGACACGGGTGGTTCAGACTGCATTTCCCCCAGACGCAGGATGTCATTCAATGCAAACCATTCCAGGGCCTTGCGGTATCCTTCAGCACCCTGCGGCAGATGCTCAATGCCCGAGATCGGCGTCATCGGTGAAGGCAGCACGGGCTGAGCGCTGCTGGCGATCTGGAAAAAGCTGACATAAACGGGGTCTATTTACAAACAGGAAAGCGGGCAGGAGTCGGAAGTCCTTGATGTCCGCACACTGGACATAAAATTCGATGTTGACAACCTGCACGAAGGGGGAAGAAACGCTTCTCCCGAGTTTGGGTCCACCCGGCCTGGCCTGCTGATGCCCGGTCCACTCCCAACGCAGCACGCAGTGCTCACAGGCCGGCAGTTCTGCCGGAAGGAGAACTGAAGTGCTGACAGACGAAGGGATGTTTAGTCCTTAGAGCGGAAGGGCATGGCTTTGACATGGAGCCAGACGGCACAGGAAGACTGAGATTCTGTCCATCCGGTGCACCACAGCCCGGGATTGCAGCAATTTTGAAGAAGTTAACCTCAGTGGTGGGATCAGCCGAGATGCAGACCGGAATCGTTGCAGTGAATCCAACCAGGACAGCCAGGATGCCACATTGCTGGGATCGGGATCGTAGCCTTAACCGGACAGTCGCTGACAGTCTCAGGCCCTCGTGGAACAGAGCAACCGAAGACAGGCCAGGAACTGACGTAGAAGTAACAGTCGCCAGGGTGTCCGGCCTCCATGGTCCAGGTCACATCCTCAGCACGCACTGCGGGTTCTTATTGCTGTGTCCGCGGGCCCTGCGCCGCAAATCGCAGCACACGGCCAGCCCGCAGGCTGCAGGCTGAGGTTCCAAAGCAGACATCGAAAAAAGGAGATGTTGGTTGAAACACCGGCAACCTAAAAAGTATATGCTGATTGAGAAACCCTAGACCTCAACAGCCTAACAGGGAGATGTCGCTTGCCAGTTCCAAACCTATAATAGGAGATGTTTGCATCAGCACCCAAATCTCGGGACGCTGCTTGCAAAGCCGAAAACCCTAAATTGGAGATGTTGGCTGCAATATCCACACCCCGGAAAGGAGATTTTGCCCGAAACCCTCAAAGGGGAAGTTGGTTGCCGAACCCAACACCCGACGAAGAGAGTCTGGTTGCCAAGCCCGCAACCCTCAATTTAAAAAGAGATGTTGCTTGCAAAAACGCAGAACCCTAAAACGAGAGGTTGCTTGCCAAACCCCAAACCCTGAAAGGAGATATTGGCTGAGAAACACGAACCCTGCAAAAAGCTGTTGGCTACGAAACTCAGAACCCTAAAAAGACGACGTTGCTTAGAAATGCCAGAACCCTAAACAAAAATGTTGGCTGCGATTCCCGAAGCCGAAAAAAAGATGTTGTTTCCCGTGCCCGAAACCCTAAAATTCTAAAAGGACAATGAGATATCGGCTGCGAAACCACGCACCTAAAAGATGTTGCTGGCAAAATCCAGAACCCCAAAAGGAGATGTTGCTTGCCAAACTCCTATCCTTCAAACGTTGGTTAAGATACCCAAGGCAATAAAGGAAGATGCTTGTTGCAAAACTGGAAACCCTAAAAGGGCTAGTGCTGGTTGCCACACCCCAAACCCCTGAAAGGAGACGTGCGTGGAGAAACCCAAAACCCTAAAAGGGAGATGTTGGCTGAGAAACCGAAACCGTAGAAGGATGCATTCATTGAGAAACCCTAAACCCGAAAAAGGAAAATTTCTTGATCGAGAAACCGTAAAAAGCCCAAAAAATGATATCTTGATTGAGACACCCTAAACCCTGAAAAGGTGATGTTGACAGAGAAACCCAAAGCTCTTAAAGGACGCGTTGCTGGCAAAACCCAGACCCTCAAAGGAGACGTTGCTTGCACTAGCACGAACACCAGTACGACAGTACGATTAGTTACCGGTACTGGTCGTCGTGGCAGGTGGGCCGCAGAGCCGCGGCCCGCGCGGGCACGCAGTTGTGCCCACCGCCGCGCCGCCGGGCAAGGAAGTGTTTGCGGTCTCTCGGGGTACCCTGTTGGACCTACAATTTCACGGTGGAGATGTTCACTTCACGGATGGATCTTGCGGCCGTGCATCAAAGGAGGACCCAGCTTGCAGAGTGGTCTTCGGTCCGTCTGAGTCTGGGTTGAAATCGTGACATCGCATGCCTGAGCGCTGCAACGGGCCAATCGTAAGTTGCCAACACTGTGCCTGCTTGAACCCATCAGCCTCTCTGTGCAGTGTGGTGACTGAGTGAGGTGAGTGAGGTGATTGAGTGGAATGATTGATTGAGCGAGTGAGTGATTGAGCGAAGGACTGGGTGAGTGAGCAAGGGAGGGAGTGGAGTCAGGGAGGGAGGGAGGGAGGGAGGGAGGGAGGGAGGAGGGAGTGAGAGTATGTTTGCAAACGCCACCAGAAGAAATCGTCTGAGTTCGAGCTGGTTTCCTGTGAACTCGAGCTTATTTACAGGGTAAACGTGCGCTGCAGCAGAAACCGTATGAACTCGAGCTGGTGCCCAGTGAACTGCAGCCTCGGTTCTCGTGGCAGAGTAACCGCCCCGATTGCCATCAAGTGTGTAGACAGGGGCCCGTTGTTCATGGCTTTCCTTACTGCCCAAAGATCCTAAGCCCTAGGCCCTAAACCCTAAACCCCAAATTACCATAGTCCAGAAAGAGAAGAACCGACGCCGATGCGAGCCAAGTCACCCGGCGTCCCAGCGAGTCCCCTCGAACCGTCGGCACCTTATATTCAAAAAAAGAATAAAATAACGAATACCGTCTAGGGTTTAGGGTTTAGGGTAGTATATATAGTATATCGTATATTGTATATAGTCTTTATGAAGGACGCTGGGACCGGACCATCTCAATCCAGTAGAACACCTCGAGTCAATTCTTACACGGGAAAACATCCAGTCATCGGTAGGAGTGGACCTCTCTTTATAAGCCCAAAGCACAGTCAGCTGGCCATGCCCCGCTGCGAGTGCCAAAGCCTTGGCATTCAGGGAAGCTGTGGGCATTGGACTGTTCAGGACACATGGCTCTTAGGCGCTACCTGCGCAAACACTGTTGGCGCTCTGGCTGCTTCCAGGTCGCGCCGAAATTCACCAGCGTGCGCAAGGAACACATCAGAGTCCAGCAGCGTGCTATCAAGGTACACTTGAGCAAGGGTGTTACTTCAAGAGGAGCCGTGCAGGATCAAGGAATGCGTCTTGCCATGTGCCGACAGTTGACGCACCGGTGTTCATTCGTCCAACTTCTTCATGCTAGCTCCATGGCAGTGCTGGTGCCTCGTCCGTGATAGGACGACACCCGCCGAAGTCGGTAAGCTTCGCATGATTCGAGGAAGTGACCTGGGCGTTCATCGCATCAAGAGCTTAGATACAAGCATGTTGATGCCCCCACAAGCGCTCTGCGACTACGTTCTCTGGCTTCAGATCACCGTACATGAAACCTTCGGACGCTGAGCAAAGGTCACCCTGACTTGCGAATTGTCTTGCGCGGTCGCCTATATCATGTATCGCACACAGCGCAGCCACCACCTCTCCCACAAGGAAGCGGACCACATCCTGCAGATTATGACAACCGGAAGGCATGTCAGGAACCCTTACCTGAACTGCCGGTGTACCAAGAGCAAGCCCGGGATCAGGAAAATCCCAGTTTGTGACAACCCTGCCGTCCTCTTCAAGCTTCCCAGCACCAACCAGAATGTTGTGCAGATCACCCTTGTGGGCATACCTGCGATAAACTTCTACTGCCCGAAGCACACCGTATGAAACCAGCAAGACTAAGAGTTGATCAGGCGCACTCCAACACTAAGTAAGCACCATCGCGGTAACGGAAGGCAGCAACCATCCGCGCGATTCCCTAGGCAGTAAGCTGGTTTCCGAGCACAAGATTCTGGCTGCTTTGTGGACTTCGTCTTCGATCGAGCTGTGGAATGTGCCACGTGCAGTGCATTCAACAGTTGCAGGCCGCCCACGGGGTGACTCAGCATCTTCAGCACGCAAATCTCGCGATTTACAGATGCCTACAACAGGGACATGTAACAAGAACCACAATAGCCTTCACAAGCTCGCCTACTTAACCCGCCTCGTACCCGAGCTCCTCCATGGTCTTTGTGTTTATGACCTACAAGCTCCAGAGCCGCTATCAGCACAGCTACGAGCCCCGAGCCCCGCAATTCCGCCTTGACGGCATACTCGGGCCACTGGGACTGAGTCTTCTCCTGACGATGGCATTGGACATAACAACATGCTTCCATTGGGTGCTTCCATTTCTCTTGGGCAAGGCTTGCACATGGCTCAGGACAATGCACTGCTCCCCCAAACCGAGGTTAGCAGCTTTAGAATCGGGCATGTGTCGATTCATATGTTAATGAATGTGTATGAACATGTATACGTATGTATGTATGTATGCATG